TGCATCTTCACCATTGTTTCATTATATATTGATTGTTATTCATCTCATCCATTTCACTCTTTCCTACAAGGTATACGTGGATCAGATTCATGCTGATGTCCATGCCATAACTCGTCATTGCCCTGACCAGCGCAGGACAGTTGTACTTGTGGCTCACTCAGCCTTTAAACTTCCTCCAGACCATCTACTGCCAACAGAGTCTAATATGAAGGTACAGATGCATGGTATTCCACCATTAAACATACCAGGTTCGTATGAGTTTAAACATCAAACACATTATATTGATACCCTGAAACAATCTCTGGGCTGATCTAAGTAAGGGGAAGCTATCTCAAAGATCGAAGCCTGAAACAACCTCTTGTGCTAGTGTGACTAAGTGGATGTTGAACGGCAAGAATGATGAAACTCATTGCAGGTTTTTTCCAAGATAGGTCGCAGGAAAATAAGTGAAACTAAAACTAAAACTTGAACTAAACAAAAACACAACTAAACAGCACAAAAATCTGGAGCAGAACTGATTTATTCTTCAAATTACGAATACTGTTGCGTGATCACTTACATTATCATTCCAAATATGGCTAGTACAAACGTAACGCAACAAACTGGAACAAATCTGCAACCAGTATGTTTTCAACTAGTAAAGACGATGATAATAAATACAAAAGATGTTTATGTCTATATGTAACAAGGATGTTTTTGCTCAATCATTTTCTACTTGTTCAGGTGACATCGAAGAGGTCATTTTCGAGGCAACTCTTGTGAAGAAGAATGGTTTAAAGGAGTTCAAGAAAGATGGCAGTTTCATCAATGGACTAGAGTCACATGTAGCAGTGATTCAGGAAAATATACCAATACAACAATCCAAGGTGCTTTATATACCCGCTAAGATTGGCTCAGTGTTAAAACATTTCAGATCAAATGACCATTCTCTCTGACTAGTATCATATAAACAAAAGACCCATTCAGCGTGGCTCAATGTTGTCCCATTTCAGACCACATGTCCATTCTCTTGAGTATTGTACAGGGAATAGACCCATTCAACATGGCTCAGTGTTGTCCCATTTCAGACCACATGACTATTCCCTTGAGTATTGTACAAGCAACAGACCCATACAGCATGGCTCAACGTTGTCCCATTTCAGACCACATGACTATTCCCTTGAGTATTGTATAAGCAATGGACCCATTCAGCTTGGCCTAATGTTGTCCCATTTCAGACCACATGACCATTCCCTTGAGAATTGGACAATCTATAGACCCATTCAGCTTGGCTCAGTGGTGTCCCATTTCAGACCACAT